TACTTATTGACTAATTTTTAAATTAAAAAGATGGAGCCAACCAAATAGCTCAGCAGATTAAAGTGCCTGCACGTAGGCACAGGAGTCAGGGGTTCAATCCCCCGGCCTGCTGTGCCGGCCCCGTTCCCGGGACATGCTGAGATGTCAGTTGAGACTGGGCATGGTGGTATGTGTCTGTAATCCCAGCTCTTGGGAGGCTGTAAACAGGTGGATCACTATGAGTCCAATCTAGTAGTGAGAACCTGAACACCCTCTAGACCCTTCCCTAGAATACAAAAAATAAATAAATAAATAAATAAAAAGATGCTAAAATAAAGGAATGAAGGGGCCGGGAAATGGCTCAGTGGAATAAGTGCTTCCCTAGCAAGCACAAGGGCCTGAGTTCAATCCCCGGTTCCACCAAAAATAAAAAAAATAAAAAATAAAATAAAGGAATGATAGCTAAGTGAATTTAGCCTGAAAGCTCAGAATTCTGATTTCATTTATCTATGACTATCATCATTCATATAATAATTCTAACAAAATGCTATAAGTAATGGGACACATCCCCCAAGAATACCGCAGATCATCCCTCTTAAGATATTTTAAGATGAGCAATGGGACCAAGCGCAGTAATATTCACCTAAAATCCCAGCTACATGGGGGAATGAGAGAGGAGGATCACAAAGTTAAATTTTGTTTGGGCAACTTAGTAAGCCCTGTCTCAAAATAAAATAAATTTAAATTTGAAATCTAAAAAGGAGGCTAAGTGGTGGGGGCTGGGAAAATAGCTAAGAGGCATAAGCACCTACCTGGCAAGCATAAGGACCAGAGTTCCCCTACTCCGGGAACTCCAGGAGCACCTACCTGGCCCCGTGGTCCCACATGCCCTCTTGACTTGGAACCTCAGGCACGCTTGGCTGGCCCAGAAACGGGGATAGTGGTGCACACCTGTAATTCTAGCATTTGGGAGGTTGAGACAGGAGGATCACTGTGAGTTCGAGACTGGTCTAGAGGCTACCAAAGAGCACAGGACCAAACTGAATTGCACAGTGAGACTCTGCCTCAAAGAAAAGAAAAGAAGAGAAAAGAAAAGGAGGCTGGGGATGCAGCTCAGAGGAAGAGCTCCTGCTTAGCATGCACAAGGCCCTGAGTTCAATCCCAGAGTACCTTCCCCAGGGTACTCGGCAACCAACCCCAAAATAACTATAGACAGAGGGAGAAAACAATCTACCAAGGCATATTTCACCATGCATGAAAACCACCATGCCGTCTGAAAGGACAGTGCTTGCCAGTCATTAAAATTTTCTCAGTGAAACACACTGGAAATGATTTGAAAATAAGGATGATTTTAAATGGTAACAGATTCACATTTGAGTGTCCAGAACTCTTTTACTTATATTCTCTCTCTCTTAATATTCCCTAGCTTAGCAAGATATGGCACAAACTATCATTGCCTGCTCTATGAGAACAGTCATATGGAAATGAAAGCACAATTGACAGATTATCTTTTGTTACATAATAAGTAAAGTATCCTAGAGGTTATAGCCTACAATGACTATTTTATTTGCTTAAAATTGTGTGTGTGTGTGCATGCGTGTGTGTGTGTGTGTGTGCATGTGTGTGTGTGTGTGTGTGTGCATGTGTATCCTACGGGAGAATCAACCCTGGGTCTTCACACTGAGCTAAAACCCAGCCCTTTTTATGATTCTAAAATTTTTAGGTGGAGTCTCACTGAGTTGCCAGGCAGAACTTGAACTCATGATTCTCCTACCTCAGATTCCCAAAACACTGGGTTTGAGGTGTGTTCCACAAGCCTGGCTGGCTTAGAATTCTTGGGCTAAGAAGGTGGGCAGTGCTTGCTTGGCTGAAGGATTTTCCTGCCGCTCTTTTTTGCTCTAGTTGATCTAAGATGGTCTTGTGCACTCGTCCTGTAGTTAGTTCTGGCTATTGGCTAGGTCTTTCTCTTCATGTAACTACTCCTCAAGAGTAAAAGCTTGGGAGGAATGTATGAAAGAAAAGAATAAAAGCTGCCTCTGGTGACCAAGTGATAAGAGTTAAAGCCACCAGACTTGTAGCCCATGTCCTTCTGGACCCTCGCGTGTCATTCTGACACATTCTGCCTCAGTCTGCCTAGGGTCAAGGCTAGCCTTGCCCGAAGGAAATGTGAAAATAGATTCCATCTCTGAAGGGAAAAGGAGCAAAGCAGAACTGTATAAAATATGAGAAAAGGAGAAGTGGCACCCAGTTTTTCCCACCTCTTACAAACAGGATATCTAGCAAATAAACATGTACCAGGATATGAGACCACAGATTCTTTCTTTTTTGTGGGGGAGGGTACCAGGAATCAAACTCAGGACCTCTTGCTTGCCAGGCAGGCGCTCTCCCACTGAGCTATGTCCCTGTGTTGTATGTTAAGGTTGGTGCCAAAAGAAACGATGAGAAGACCTGATGAATGTAGCTTCAGAGGTCTCACTGAGATGAGTCTCTCTCCAAGTGAGCCCAGAGCCTCAGAAGCATCTCACATTTATTGAGGGGTAAAGGCAGGCCAAGGAATGTGCATAA